CACCCAATACAAGGAAGTTGAAACTCTGAGTTCATAGAGAATCATTTTGCTTCAATGCTCTTCTCAAATGACCGTTCGGTAGCTCACTTGTACTCATCCCTGTGGTTGGGTTAGGAGGAAAATGAGTCCTAACTCAGCCATGTCGATTTAATGCAAGTCTAATGTGTGCAGCTATGGCACATAATTTTAATTGGTAATAAATCTGCCGAAAAAGGTTTAGAGCATAATCTAATTTTCTTGGTCCAGACTAACAGTGGGTTCAGAAACTCACCTGCATGATAATCAGTAAATATCCTATTATAGTTTCTCTTTCAGGGGGAAAAAATATCCAAATCAAAATTTTTGTGGACTGAAATGTGTTCATTTCAAGCACTTCCCATACAGAAGCTACCTCGGCCTCACTCCAAATAATCTAAAAAGTGTTGCCTACCTCCAGACGACTGCTGCAGCTCTGAATTAATTCTGCATGTAACTCCCACTGCAAGTTAGCACAGGCTTCAGACAAGCCTGCAGGATAAAAGGGGAACTCTTTGAAGACAACAGAGAAGTGAGCCGCAGCCTGAACTTGGCAGGCCTATTTATTAAAACGGTGATTTAGGAGATTTTTCAAATGCCACTCTTAGTTGTAGATCTCATTGGAGAGGTCTGTCTGCTTCAGGAATACACATCCTGTGGAAGCTCTGGCTTGTTCCTGCGGTTTGGTGTAATTATTAATAGAGCCCCCTTTCACTCTCAAGAGTCCCTGTTTGTCTGATAAATGCTGTGGTCATTCCTTACAGGCCCTTTTCAGAGCAAAGCCCATCTCTTTGAAGATATAATCTTTGCCTAGATCTAAGAAAAATGACCTTCGTTTCCTACAACAGACTCTTTGGCGCCCTATCTTAGAGCCATTAAAGTATGTCTTCAGAGCAATAATTAAGAACCACATAAGCTAATGACTTTCTCCCTATGGCGCTCTTATTGGTGAAAGCACGTGAGGTAAAGTCATAGGGACTCATCTACTACAGCAGCCCTGGTCAGGAAACGTGAGGGTTTCACGTTTATGTTTACAAAGCAATTCCAAATCATTTGTACGGGCAAGAATATGTACCTACATTGGACAGTGACTGTTCCTTCTGGAATGCCATTCCACGCTTGAAGTTTGAGCACTTCGTGGTCTTACACACTTTTTGCAGACTTGAGTCATCTGCATGCCTCTTCTTCAGGAGAGGGTGTGCTGTGGTGTATCGATTTGGGGGCAGAAAGATTGTCAAAACATCATCAGAGATGCTCTGAGAGTTACTGTTGTAACAGCAGTGTGGCTGCTGGGAGGAGGAGCCACATGGCAAAACCCCAGCCATTCACTAAGGAAGGAGGGAGGGCGGCCTGTCAGGGTAAAGCCAGGCATCCGCCTGAGGAGTCTGAAGCAGACGGTTTCACAAGCTGGGACAGATGGCTTCTTGGGAAGCCTTGTCATGTGGGGGTAGAGGGAGCAAGGAGGAAGATGATCTACCTGTTTGCTAATGTCCTTTCGTCTCGTCAGCTCTGGCCTGAATCTAGTTTCTATTCTGTCCCCAGCTGCACAGCTTCCTATCTGCAGCCCAATTCTGAAAGAAGGAAAGAAGGTCAAAGCAAGGACAGGGAGTACAGAAAGGCTTGCCCTCTGGGGAAGAACGTGCTTGGAGAGCCCTTCTCCTGGGAAAAAGGTGCAACAGCTGAGCAGAGAACAGATCCATGGGACCAGAAGAGTCCGATGGTATGATGCTTGCTTCAAAATGGTCCTTTCACAGCCTTTCTCCCATGTCTCCTAAAGGGGGGCAGGTGGAGCTCAGGACAGAAAGTTTCACCTCACGGGTAATGGTGCCATGGGAGGCGGGATGATTAGAACGAGCGGGGTGTCCCTCCTTCCAGAGGGTGTCTAGAAGAGCCAGAATTCTGACATCCTAGTTGAAAATGCTCCCCAGAGATCTTGTGACCCAGTTCTCTCATTTCACCTACGGACTTTCAGGTTCAGAGATCTTGAGTGACCTTTACAAAGATTTCACTGAACGGCTACCCTGGGTGCTCACCAAGCCACAGAAGTCTAAAAGATTTTAAAAGTACAAACCGAGAGTAATTTCTTCCCACTGTGAAGAATTGTCATGAGACCTAAATGCATGACTCTGGAAACCAACTGCACAGACTTCCTGCTGGCCAGGGAGCTTGCTCATCAGGGTCACCCCTGCTGCCCCTGACCGGGATCTCCTGTCCCCAGGGAAGCAGTGAGCTAAAATGTCAGGAACCATTTCTTCATTTTTTGTATTCTTTTAAAAAATTTATTGAGAGAGAGAAAGAGAGAGAGAGAGGGGGAGAGAGAGAGAGAGAAAGAGAGAGATTAGTTGCCCCACTTAGTTATGCATTCAGTGGCTGATTCTTGTATGTGCCCTGACCAGGGATTGAACCCAAAACCTTGGCATATGGGAACAGTACTCTAACCAACTGAGCTACCTGGCCAGTGCAATTTTGTATTCTTTTGCTTAAAGAGTCTCCTTCCCCCTAATTTTATAAACTTCAGGTCCCAGAAAACCTGAATCTTGGCCTGCCTGTCCCACGTAATAAATCTAAACATCTGATCCTCCAACATCCTCCTGACCAGAAGAGATCAGGTGAGCCTGAGGATGACTCAGCCGAGGCCGCTGGGAAAACAGGCTGTGGCCTGTGAAAAAGTTGGGTCAGGCATAACATTTGAGGGCTGGTTCACGTTATGTCTCAAACTTTCACCCCCTCCTTGTTTCTATCACCATTCTGTCCTCACCCAGACCAGACTTGTCTTTCAGATCTACAGATCTGGGATTTTGGATCAGGCAAGAGTCTTCTTTTGTCGTCATTCCTGATTTTGTAGCTCTGGGAATGGCTACAGCACCTCAGGTTTGTGAATTGCCCTCCCTGCCAAGCAAAGCTACCGTGTTGGCCAATACGTCAGCAGGCAGGAAGAATACTTGGCACACTTGTTAGATAGAATCTGCCTGGTGTGTCCCTGTGTGGGTGGAAACCAAGGAGTGATGACTACCTATCTCAGTATCAATAAACACAAACCAGTGCAACTCTATACACCTTCACTGAGTGCCCATTATGAACAAAGCTTCTGAGTTACCCTCTGAGAAGACAGATGATATGATATAGTGCCTGTCCACAGTGCCTATGTCAGAGAACATGGTATAAAAAGCGTGTCCCTCATTTGACAGGAATAGCTACCAATTATTGAGCGCCTACTCTAGGCTCCACGCTGTATTATATTTTCTCTAGTCTCAACAACTCGCTCAGGCAGATAGATATTAGCCTCATTTTGTTGATATGGAAACTGAGGCTCAAAGAGCTGATGTGATTTATGCAGGTCAGGCACCTAGGGCAGCCCTCAGCTTTTGTGGAGGGCTACATGTCAGAGGAAGACAGAAGTCAAGGGCGTTGCAAACCTTCCATTCTTGATTTCACACAGGCCTGGGTTGAAATCCCAGTTCTAGCACTTGTGGGGCCTTGGGAAAGCGGCTCCCTGTCCCGGCTTCTTCATCTATAGACTGAACAAAATACTCCATAAGATGATTGGAAAGATGAAATGAGATAATGTGGGCATTGCTCATTTCCCCAGAACGTTCAGGCACAAATTGACTCATTTTGGTAGAGCGTGCTCATCCCCTGGATCCCCGTGCCACTTCCTCACCAACTTCAGGTTTTTACTGAACCTTCACCTTCTCGGTGAGACCTTCCCTGCCCCCCACCCCCCCGCCGTCTAAAAGGCCAACCCCACCCCAACTCTCCTGATCCCCTTCCCTACTTTATCACCAACTAACATATTAAAAATTGTACTTATTTATTTTTGTCTGTCTCCACCCACAGAAGGTGAAGTTTTTGAGACCTGGAATCTGTATTATTTCCGTATCGTCCCAAGCACAAATATAGATTGGTTAAAGAATGAATGAAAACAAAACTAAACAAAAACCCCCAAACTTTTTGACACCAAAAGAATTTGGCTTTTTCCTCACTACCTCTTTTCCCGGGGAACATTACTTTAAAAGCCTTGGTTTCTTCCTTTGTAAAATAATGGTTTCTATTTTTAAGGCTGCTGGGATGATTAAGTGACATATGTATAAAAACTGACACATAGCAAGTGCTGAATAAATGCTGCTATTATCACTCAAAAGAATCTGACCAGTTGTTTAATGAAACTTCAATGAAACAGTCTGTCAATGAAACTCAAAGCTGAAGTGTCCAGCCTCAATGGTTCAGCCCACTTGTGCTCCGGGTTGGACTATAAAACAGTCCAATAGGTGTGAAACCGCTCGGTGTTCACAATCCAAGGCGGCTGTTAGGTTTGCTTCACCGTTACCATCTCACCACAGAAGGAGGCTGGGGCAGCTCCTATAACTTGCCCAAGGTCACTGCCTCGAAAGCCAGGGCATGCAGGACCTGCACAAATCCTGCCTCTTGAAAGCGTATAATACACTGTCTCTTCTTCCAGGTTCTCTCTACAATGTGGGAGGGTGGCACCCGTCTTCAGCCAGGCTTGTCACGATCATCTCCTGCCATTCACGTAACTGTTTTGACACTCAGTTTTCTGGCTCGTATACATGGGAAATAAAATCCGCCCCTCACAGCTTTATGGCCAGGATCACAGGTGCGAAAAACTCTTTGGAAACTGTGCAGCGCTGTATGCATTACCCCTGCAAGAGGCATTAACACGGAACCCACAACTTTCCAGTCCCTGAGCTCCTCCTGCATGCACTCCTAAGGCGGTAGCGAGGAGTAGAAAGGAGGATTAACCCCTGAGCCGGTCTGGGCGTTTCTCCAGGAGGCGGGAGAGGAGTCCCGC